AAAACTTCAGGAGGCAAAAGTGATTTCGGGGCTTCCTTTTTCGCATTCTTTGAATCAGTATCGACTTCTTCCTCTTCAACAGGCTCCTAAAGCAGGAGAAAACATTGTTATTTTTTTCAATAAAACTATGTACAAGGACCACAATTAAATTAGCACTTACACCGAAATCTTGTTCAATAAGATCATAGTGACCAGGCTTTTTTATGAAGTTAGCTCGACAGAGCCAGTCATTGCCAGTCTTATCGCGGAACTTCTTTTGAAATTCCCTAATAGCTAACTGTTTAGAACCAAAGCTTTGGAGAGAAGTTTGAGCTGTTTTTCCAACTCGACCCCAACGGAACCATACAGAGTAATTCCCTCCAGCGTCATCTTCCAGAACTTGACCCATATAGTACTTGTTATTATTGTTCTGCAGATTTGTCTAAAGATGTAGAAAACAGACTCTGTTACTTCCATCTCGAAAGTACATATCAAATACAACAAAAGCGAACATCTACCTGATTGAGCATGAAGTTGTAAACATTGTCACCGTCATGAAGAACATGTGCGATATTAACTTTGCCAGTGCACTGGGGATCCACTGGAACTCTTCCTTTAATTATTATCTTAGCAATTGCCGGCTTATCTTCATCACTGGCATTATCAGGGTCAGATTTGGTGTCTATGGAATAATTTTAGGAGGGAAATGGAGTACCTTTAACCTTAGCCTTTTTTACCGGAGTGGATTTGCTGTCTGCTGGAATAGTCTTTCGCTTTGCAGCTAGAATATTAAAATAAGCATAATAAATCAAGTAATATAACCTCAAACACATGAAGTAACAATCGGTTCGATCACGACAGGGGCGCACTTACGCATTTTACAATAATGGACAAAAGCCCCGATTTCGATTTGGTTTTTAAAGTCTTACGAAGGTCACGGAACCTACAAAAAGCCACATTAGTTTGCACTTTGAAGAAAAGAAATTTAACCTTTAAATTGATTTTAGAGAATATTTTTAGATTTCAATCAAGCTTGTGATAATATTTAATGCATTTAAATCATATTTAAATTGAAGTTACTTTGTTAATATAGATGGATGAGATTCTACTATCCAGAATTACGCAAGGAATTTCACACTATATTAATAAGCATCAGACAATATGGTTAATGTTTCAGTTTTTGAAGTAAATTTTCAAAGTATATTATGCCTCTAACTAGCACGTGCTCATAGATTTGGGGTTGGTAAAGGTAATCAAATAAAATATTTAGCGATTGTATTTGACGAGCTAAAAATTAGATAGGTAGGGCTAATTAATAAATCTATATTGTCGATGCTTATTCTTTGAAGTAAAATTGTATATGAGCATTATAAGCATGCTCCATCTTTTGCCCTTTCAGTCATCTCTGGAAATTCGACCAATTCATAACTTCTTTGCATTGTGATAAAAGCTGGTACAAATCTTCATATCTTAACTTCTATAGCAGTTTGCAAATCTTTTTTCATTTCCAAACGCTTAATTAAGTTACTGATCATATGTTAACTGTGAATAAAAAATTATGATGTATCTAGCTCACTCGTTATAATTGTACTGAAATAAAAATAATTCAAGATATTTAATGTTGTTTACTTTATTTATTTAAACTTAAACAAATTCAACAATAGCTTATGTCTGAAGTAATTACAGTTTTAATTGTGTATTAAATAGGTTGAACGCCATCCATTCTTATCGCCCACGCAACAAATGTTCCAATTGGCGGGGCCTTTGGCAGTGTAATATTCACCGCACTACCATCCGCAGTAAATGGAAGATTTATTCCTCCTCCACCGTCAAGAAGTGTAAATTTGGATGACCTTTGTGTTGCATTGACTTGACTAAGAATAATGGTCGGGCTCGACTCTCCATTTGGCCACTCGCTAAATAGAGCGTACACTGAGCTGTCTTTCTGTAGGTACCTAGATGTAAAAAGTACAATAACGGGTGGGATTGCTACAATTCCATATAACGAGTTAATTGTACGAACATAGAATTACGAAGTCGTACGAATGGTCTTCGTCATACACTACTTGCAATAGTTTACTTGACCTTGAAAATTCGTTCGGCCTATGTTAGACTGACGTGTTCGAGTGGTTCCCTAAATCAGGATGCCTTTAAGGTATTATAAGTGGCATTTTGAAACTGGGTGCTGCCAATTAATCAACCCGATTCTTCTCTTTCGATTATTTTCCTTCATCTTCACAAGAGACGTTTTATGATAATGGTTTCCTGATCTTTATCTTTGAGTATCCATCTGGCTGTACAAACCTATGAAAGACACACTGTCCCATATCAGCCACATTGGTGCTGCCTACTTGTACCTGCTTACTATAGATTCATAATTGTAGATCGTAAAACTACGAGTTGCTTGCATGTAGATGGCAAACAAATGCCACTCATCATGCGGAGGTGTGACTGACGCCTCCGGAAGAAGTGTTTATAATTGATCCAGTCACCTTTGAACTGATCTTTTGATATGAGTGCTCAAAATTATTTCTACAATATTGCGTCACATCGTACGCTGATCACATGCATAATTCTAAATACCATTAATTAGTCTCTCTATTACTAGGCTAGAGTAGTCAGAATGATAGGTATAACAGTATTGACTTTAGAGTAGAAATTCATTTAATTAAGAACGATCTGGTGCTCAACAGTGCCTCTGAGATATGGTCAGGTAGAGAAATTTACATCACGCTCATACATGCAGATATGAGAAATTTAAATAACCTTGGCGGCGCGTATGCCTACTCTTATTTGCTAGCAGTGACGTGATAATGACGTTGCGCGAATAACGCAAATAGGCAGTGGTGGGGAGTGATATTTTTATGCCAGTTAACTTAAATAAATATATTCAGGTATACAAAATGACGTAAATCGTTTGATAAATATTTTTTAACATTAAAACGATGAATAAATGATGGTATGGATTCAATAAATTTCAAATTAGGTTTAGTTTTCCATTTTGATTGTAAGAACTACAAGTAATTCTGTTATTTCAGCATAAATTAATTCCTTATTCCTACTAACCCCAAGTTTAACTAACCATAGTTTTTTCTGCTTGCTATCCACCTGGTACTTCCATGGTTTCGTCCTGTAAATTGCGTCTCCATTTATCTTTAGCCACTGGCCCATTGTTAGAAGACGTTCTTCAAATATTGGTGAAATGGTGCCCCATGACGTTGGTCCAACATTAAGGAGGAGATTCCCTCCATATGCCACTACGCTTATTAGCGTTTCCATTAATTCCTAAATTGCATTAACGAAGAAATAAATTTGGCATTATAGTCTAGAAATTTACACTAAAAAATAAGGTAAGAAACCAGTGAAATAAATAATCGTACTTGCAAGTAGTCGTGGTACTTAGGCTAAAGAAACTTAAAACAAAAACAACTCGAACTAAATTGAGTTTATTCTATGAGGTTTCACAGTTTCAGCAGCACCATGATGGAACGGATGACGAATTTCAACGTTTAAGATTTCCATTGGATAGACTCCCAAGGCTTTGAGCTACCTAACTAATCTTATCTGTTCCTGCGTTCTCTCACCTTCTTTGTTCGAACTCTTGGCTTAGTTATTCTTATTTCGGAGATTTATTTATTTATTTATTTCAAGTGTTAAGCATCTTGATAGTTGTCATTAGCCCTTTAGCTGACTTCAGGCTTCGCAGAGAGGAGGAAGAACATCAAAATAACAGAAAGTCGAAGGGTGGGGAACAGAATAGCGATTCACACATGTGAAAGAGACGGGCAGACGCAAAGGCAGAACAAAGGTAATGTGCGAACTGTGGAAGTGGGGGTCATGGTAGTTTGAAGTCAGAAGTCAACTGCCGGTTAATAGACTTTTTTACAGTATGAGTATACGTTGCCCAGGGTGCACCATGTGGAGGTATGTCTACCGCACACAAAAATTTCAGAGGTAAATATTACGAAAGTCATGTATTGTCATAAGTGGACTATATCGCCAAAGACCTCTGAGTCAGTGGTCATCTTGGCTCATGTAACCCATCCACAACCTAAGTCATATTAAGAATGTCAAGACAAAGTATTGATGAGGTAGATGACCTAGAAAAAATATGCGGCCACCTCCGGATTTTAGGTATTTAGGGGAGTTTCGTCAAGTAATGACAGGAAACGCGAATGCAAATCTATATGAAGATATATTTAACATTTCCGTTTCTTGAGCATTGTCGACACCTGCTTCGTTGCTAGCTGCATAGCTATTCTGGATATTCGCAGATTGGTTTGTTTATACTTTGATTTCTTCTATAACTGGATATCTTGTGATAAGACTAAATATCATAACACTTTTGCTAATTAAAATCTTTTATGGCAAGAATTAGTTGCTAATTCCAATCATCTTGTTCATCCCACGAGTCAAATATGACTTCTAAAGGACCACAAAGATGTTTTTTGAAGTCTGGCCCATATCAGAACCCACAAATCGGCCACCAGGACCAGGTCTCCTAAATGTCTTTGACAAGGTAACCCTATTGGAGGGGCTACCATCTGAGTGGGAGATGATTCTGTTGAGAAGGCATGATCGCATACCAGCGTCTTCTGAACTTGGCGATGACACACAAGGGAAATACTGGAAATACTTTGAAAGTCATCTCTTTTGAATTCGAACCCTAGGCACCTTGAGAAAAATTTCTAGTATTTTTTGGTCTTCTGGAGATACTTAAACATTCGAATTCCGTTCTGTTCTGATAATAGTTTAACAGATTGTTGTTGGAAGTTCGTAGATGATTGTGTTACTACTAGTACCTGATCAATTACTGCTGTATTGCGAGAGACCAACTTCTGCAGCTATGATATATACTTCCACTAGATATGTCCAAGGCCACAGTCTACGCAGACCTAAAGAGAAGGCCAGTCAGATGTGCAATTACTCTAAAATCGACTTTTTAACCGAACAATTAATAAAATATGATGTAACACTTAACTGTCAAAAGTTCATAGACTGCAAATTTAGGAAATTGATCCGTTATCAATGAAGGTGGGGGGGGGGGGGGGGGGGGGGGGGGGGAAAAA